TTTACTGATGACTAACAACAGTTGTAAAAGCTTTACAAAAAAAAAAGTAATAATAATTTATGCATTTTGGAAATTTTAAATGTGTAAAAAATTTAAATTTGACACTATTTTCTTTTATTAACGTTTTCTATAAAATTTACTGTTTTTCATGTAAGTCTAGCTATATATTATCACAATGTCCACGTAAACTTCTGTATATATAAAAGTATCTCTCATTTAATGCTGGATATGATTAATGCACAAAATTAATTTCAGTAATCCTTTTATATATGCAACAGAAGTTTTAATTAATGCTGCTTTAACAGCTGTCTTTACTTAACATAGGTATGTTGTGCATGCAGCTCTAAGGTTTCATTTTATTTTCAAATTAGTTACTCATTTTTATCATAGAAAACTCTTGCAGATGACTAAATTAAAATATTTGTTATTAACCTAAAGTTTGTTTTAAGAAAAAAGTAAAATAGGAAGAAATCACTTAATTATATATTACATGTACAGGGTGATTCAAAAGTCACGGAAATTTTAAAAAATTAATAACTCACAAACTATTTACAGTGGGATGATGCAGTTTTCACAGAAATGCTTAGAAAGATGTGGGATTTTTTATGCATAATAAAAATTTCAGTACCAAAATACTTACATTTCTTGCCATAGATGGTGCTTGATAAGATTACATAATTTGTGTAGTTGTTACTACAGCTTACACTAACAAGGAGAGCCTACGGCTTTGGGGTAACGGATTTTGATGATCTTTGGTGTAGAGGTAGTACACGATGTAAGTGTACTACCTGTAAAATACTAAAGTGCAATACTCAAATATAATGGAGAAAATCGAACTTAAAGTTTTGTTAGCACTTTATATATAAATTATACGTATTTCTATACGAGCGTCCTGTGGCAGAGTGGTAACGAGTCTGATTCATAAGCTTGAGTTCTCGGGTTCGATTCTCGCGTATAATTTTTTTTTAAATCATAAATACTTATAATGTATTTATTTATTTACTCATTCATTTATTTCTTATTATTTATTTATTTTAATTTAATTTCTACTATTCCAAGTCTAATATTTTTATACTTTTGTTGACAATAACAG